AGCAGTCACGCAGTGCAACTAAGCCAATTAATTACCTTCTGTGCGCAGGGGTGATAGGATTGGGTCGGTTGGCTGGCGATATTTAGAGAGGACAACGGATGGTCACAGGCCTTCTTTTGTGCAGAATAACGGCTTACTATGGGATGGCGTGATTGCTGTTACGATGAAACCAGCATCGGCGGCGATTTCGCGTACAACATTTGAAATATAGGGTGGATTAGTGATTACTAATAAAACGAAGCCCCCCTCAGATCGACAGTGCTATTATATCAATACTAGCAGCTACCGCTATTATTATGAGCGGTCAATACTGCTATGCTATAGCTACCATAAACAGACTGTTCGTGATGTTAGACGACAGTCAAGCCATCTCGTAGTTCGGGACCACACTGAAAGATCAAGACGCCTTAAATAACTAAAAGAAGTACAAACTTACGACTCAGCGGCGTCACTAGGGTTGGTGTCACACGGTGCGGTAACTCATGGTGTCACCCCCATGGACCTCCTCCCATACCAGACCATACAGAATCCTTAGTAATGTTTTTTGTACTAACGTTACTCGTAAATCGTAATTTCCGTATATCACTGAATGTAAAGACAATAGTAGTGACATAAACAATTAGCAAAATTAAAATTACAATATCATACGCACTGCCGTAATGTATTTATATTTTGGCGTCACCCCCTCTGATGGTGTCACCCGGTGCTTTCGCCCCCCCCCCCCCGCAACCCCTTGTGACGCCACTGACATACGTAAATCCTCACTGTTCTCTAAATATACTGACTCTTAGTCTAAATAATCAGCACAGCGTGAATCATGATGTAGCCACTGCGCAAATTGTGCAGGTAATGTTTCTTGCTTTACACAGCAGACAACATGTAATTACCTAATAAAATCACAAATATCTAATATGTCTTGAAAAATATTCACAGGATGTGCGTTAAACTGTTAAAACCCCGGTTTGATATGAATTTATACTTGATATTGATACTGAAACCCCGCGACTGAAACTACACCTGTGATTTATAAAGTGAGTGTGAGAATATAAGTACTTGCAACTGAGTTTTAATATAAAATTCTAGAGAAATTCGGGTACCGTGTACCGGCAACCACTGATCGGCTACATAAAAATGTACAACACTTACCAACCACCCAACAAGCTGAACGTGCTGCCAAATTATACAGGGCATTGAAGAGGAGAGAAATGGTGGGGTAAAACGTGTTATTTTTACTTACTATTTTTACGCGATATTTTCAAGCTGAATTGCCTCGATACAACCATCATAACTTTTATTGCGCGCATTATAAAATCTATGGCGGTTGTCTATTCGGGGTCGCTATTATAACTCGCGCTAAAAGTAGAAGTCACTAGGACCCGCAAAGTAAAAATATTATGAGCCCAGCTAAAAGATTTCCTATAGGCCCAGCTATCGGATGATTCGCCAAAGTTATAGGAATTCCTGTTATTGGAAATTGACACTAAAATGGTGCTCTATATTATGCATTATGGCCATCAAGATTCAAGGCAAATATTTTAATACAAGAATTGCCCGAGACTTCACGAAAAAAAAATCATAGAGAGATTCTCTTTTTAAGTTTTTACTAGATTTTTTAATCTTGAACAGATATAAAACTTTATACGAATAGAACGAGAATAGAACGAGAACGAGAATACGAAGAGAACCAATTCACCTGGCAAGCAGGCGAATCTATATTTAATTACCTTAACAAACACATAAAATTAAGAGTTTACCGCTCATTTTCCAAGCTAAGAATGTAAGATTTCTATGCTTGCCCTGACATTTCATTTGGTAAAAAAATACATTTCTAATTCAATAGCGCAACTTCCTGCTTAACGATGAATGGAAAACATGCCAAAAACATAACAGCCGCTGAGCTGTATATAATAACAACATAATATAATAACATAATATTATTATTATATACAGCTTAGAAAGTGATATAACCGCTGATTCTATGACAACTACCTGCTGGACAACTACCACCCGGACAATTACCCCCTAGGACAACTACCACCAGGACAACTGCCACCTGGACAACTACCCCCTAGGACAATTACCCCACTAGGACAACTACCACCCGGACAATTACCCCCTAGGGCAACTGCTACCTGGACAACTACCCCATAGGACAACTACCACCCAGACAACTGCCACACTGACTACTACCCCCCTAGGATAATTACACCCCAGGACGATTACCACCCGGGCAATTATCTCCCGGACAATTAACGTAACAGTATGGTGGATAAATGTAAATGGGTAACAGTCCTGCGAGGGTAATCATGAAGTTGGTAAAAGTACGATGTGTACCGTGTAGTGTAGATGGGCCATCATTACTGTGCGGGGGGATAATTATCCGTGTGGTAGTTGTGCGGGTGGTAGTTGTCCGGGTGGGTGGTAATTGTCCTAGAGGGTAGCCGTCCGGGTGGTAGTTGTCCTAGGGGGTGGAAAGAAGCGCAAAGATCGAACTAAAAGTTTGAATTGCAGGTGTTAATTTGATGGCGATCGGTTACGCAGGTTTGTGCGAATGTTGTCGAGAGTTCTAAACCGAGATATAGGGATAAAGGATTACCCCTATATTGCAGACAACCTGTAATCGCGCTCGAGCGATCGAACCAAACGCAGCTTCCGCTAAAACATCGCAGAGTGACCGACCGGCTACCTTTCAACGCAGGTACGGTGTACTGTACGGAGTGATGACAGCATCGCAAGACTTCTTCGCTGCGCCGGTGAAATGCATCGCCTAGTTCTGCGAATCTACAGTACACGTAGTCAGACAAGCATGCACTCGCCGGCCTATATAACGTGAGAGCTTCATCCCGCGCTCAACCTCAAATGGCCCACGCAGCATCCCTCCCCCTCCTTCCTCCAACGCCGCAGGCGCACGTGACATATGACAAGAACAGGGTTGGCGTCAGCGCGAACAGGCACTCACCGCCTTCCGCGTGCCTATAAGCGTTTGAGCGATAAATACCGTATGAGACAAGACATGTTCGAGGGTTGGGCACTAAATGTATGACACAGTGTCTGTGAATATACCAATAGACGCCACTACCTATTAGCATCCTACAACGTCAATAAACATGTATAATTAACTTTATTGTATTGCTTATTACGTCTTATATAGAGCCGAACACACATCCTTAGAACATTCGAGATTATAGAACATGATCAGGAGAAACGGGTAAAGGACGGAAAACGAGTAATGTATAGAACAGATTAGGCTTACGAAAGCAAGAATATACTGAATTAGAATATTGAGCTAGATATACATATATGCGGGAAAGGTTGTGATTAAAGTCTTTAATCCTATTATGGAATTATCGTTTAATCCTATATATGGAATGTCTGGAATATTGCCATTGGTGTATTGTAAAGTAAGAATGACATAATTATGATGTAAACTATGTGATTCGGTCTCGTGGTATTAGTGCATAACATAATTATAGGGTTTTCAAATGATGTATAGCATGGAATGAACTTAGTACTTACACAATAAAGTGGTAGATGAAGCACTTCCAGCCGCTGGGACGCTCCAGGAAATTGTAGGCCGTTGCCTGCAATGTCGCCTTTGGGTGTTTGCCCCGGTGCTTCGTCTTACTCAGATCCGCCAGGTCGCCGAAATACTTCTCTATCGGTTTCGGAAAGTCCAGGTGCGAGAACTGGAACGGGATGATGGGAGGTGCGCCGCCCACCACCGGGTTCGCCGCGGAGTCACCAGGACTGAACGAGGGGTCGTCTCGCAGACGCTCCTTCTCAGCATCGGTGCCTTCATCCTGGAGATGGTCCCTATCCATGTCGGCTCGGCTCCCCAACTCGAACTGAACATTGGAGCTGGAGTTTGAACTCTTCATGTCGGCCATGTGGTTGTTTCCGTTAGGTTTTACCGTGCACATCGTTCCCTTCAACGGTACACCTTTTTGTGTATCTCTCTCTTTCTCGCTCTATCTCTCTTTCTATCTAGCTATCTCTATCTCTCTTTCTCCTCTCGATCTCTCTCTTCCTCTCTATCCGTCTCTCTCGCGAAGACCTCCGAGTGACTTGCTGACTCTGTAGCGATTACACTCTCTACATAGTGATGCGAGATCGTTGCAAACACAACAGAGGGTAGGCACACGACGTTTCAAAACATTCGTCTTTTATGCTACCGACGCCGTATCACTAACGAAATTCTAGAACGCCACATGACGTGGTATTCCCGTTGGGTTGGTTAGCCCTACATCTAAGCGTTTCTGTAGGCACGCATATCTATTTTCCGTACACAAGCGGCTACTCTTAAAACCGACTACACCGTTCCACGCATTGTTTCTGAGCCACATACGAAGTGTGCCGGTTCGTCTGCCCCCAGCGAAGCGCGTTCACACGCCACCATTAATCCCAGCCGTACGGCGGTGCGGTAGCACCGAGATAAACACACGCGGAAGCGTACCACGCGTACTTCTAACCGGCAAATACTGCCTCGAATGCATGTTCACTGCGCCTGCTATACATCTGCATGTCAAACCGTCCGGGCAGCAGCGTTAGAAGCACCCAGACGCGCATCCATCCTTCACTCGCCGGCTCCGCGTTCGCAATCGATGTCATGCGCGCTTCTCGTCTGCGTCACGGATTTTCCCGCTTTTTCCGCGTCTCACGGATGCTACAGGCGGCGCAAGACGCGAGCCCGTGCTACCACAGATATCAGCGTCACTTGAGCGCCTCCGTGCCTCTGGCTGGCATCAGCAGCTGCCGAGCGATGTGTGCGCTAGGCATTTAACCGCGCTGCTGCTCGCTCGCACATGCTCAGTTTACAGCGAGAGGAGAGTGCGGTGAATGGATGCAGGGGGGCGAAAACAAAGGCGAACATCTGCCTTGCGTGTGGGGCGGCAGTGTATGTTTGTTTAGGGGGCCTATTCGTCGACACTTTCTCCTCGTGGGGTCCTGCTACGACATAGTAGTAGTACGCTGTAGAATAGCGGCGCGAATGCGTTTGATGTACACGTGGTGTATCCTCTAACGTTAGCTTATACCCGTTCCTTATACGATTTTCGTATCACGAGGGGGAGGAAGAGAGAGATGTATAGTATACGATCTAACACTTGCAATTGGTGACGGAGGCAAAGCTCGTATGTAATCTTGGTTCTTGGCATTCCCCGTATACCATGCCATACACCACAATTACATCGTGGGATTTTGTATGACTAACCTATTCTTTATATCACAATGCACTATTGTATCACAACCGTATATAAAACACAATTATTGGCAATAAAAACGGATACGAAAATAGACATATATCTGTCTACTGAAACAAAGCATTCCATCTACAAATAACCTACTAGAATTATTCCTCATTCAGTTCTATAGCAATGTCTGTTTGAATCGTGTGAATAAACAGCGTGTAGGGAGGACCGCTTGATTACATTTGTGATATTAAGCGGCTGTAAGGACCTTAGAATCGTTAGTACAATGCTTATAGGTTTATAAGAGTGTAAAAATAGCCTCAGGTAGGCTCTTACTGCATGTGGCGACGTTCATCGATATAAACACGTACCAAAAACACACGCGCGGTGCATTAGCCCACTAGCCATGTGAATTTTGTATAATTACAGTAGTCTCTCATATTACAGACGCGCAGCTTGCAGAAAATCGATCATCTGAGTAATTTGTAAATAATGAAAAGTAAATTCGATGTCACGGAAATACGAAAATTGTTAAAATAGTCAACATAGAAATCGCAATTCACCGTGATCGCCGTATATTTGGTGTGGGCATACGCACATAAGCACACATGCACGCACATAATCACACATGCACGCACGCAACCAAGCACGCATTGACGCAAGCGAATATAGGCCTATACATATAACCTGTCAGTCATGCACATCACGGACACTAGTCACTAATACCCTACTAAGTAAATTGCAACACGAGCCATACATTTGGTCCGTACTAAGTAAATGCAGCAGTCACGCAGTGCAACTAAGCCAATTAATTACCTTCTGTGCGCAGGGGTGATAGGATTGCGTCGGTTGGCTGGCGATATTTAGAGAGGACAACGGATGGTCACAGGCCTTCTTTTGTGCAGAATAACGGCTTACTATGGGATGGCGTGATTGCTGTTACGATGAAACCAGCATCGGCGGCGATTTCGCGTACAACATTTGAAATATAGGGTGGATTAGTGATTACTAATAACACGAAGCCCCCTCAGATCGACAGTGCTATTATATCAATACTAGCAGCTACCTCTATTATTATGAGCGGTCAATACTGCTATGCTATAGCTACCATAAACAGACTGTTCGTGATGTTAGACGACAGTCAAGCCATCTCGTAGTTCGGGACCACACTGAAAGACCAAGACGCCTTAAATAACTAAAAGAAGTACAAACTTACGACTCAGCGGCGTCACTAGGGTTGGTGTCACACGGTGCGGTAACTCATGGTGTCACCCCCATGGACCTCCTCCCATACCAGACCATACAGAATCCTTAGTAATGTTTTTTGTACTAACGTTACTCGTAAATCGTAATTTCCGTATATCACTGAATGTAAAGACAATAGTAGTGACATAAACAATTAGCAAAATTAAAATTACAATATCATACGCACTGCCGTAATGTATTTATATTTTGGCGTCACCCCCTCTGATGGTGTCACCCGGTGCTTTCGCCCCCCCCGCAACCCCTTGTGACGCCACTGACATACGTAAATCCTCACTGTTCTCTAAATATACTGACTCTTCAAGGGTAGAATTTAACTTTTGAAACCACTCACAATTTTTTGCGAGCGGGTCAAATTTCAACTCGCAAAATCCGAAACACTGTCGCATTTTTAATATTATTATTTTTGTAGTGTATAATATGCTAACACTAATTAAAAAAGTTATCTTTTTAGCTACTTTATAAATGTTATATAATGTTGAGACAACTTTATTAAACCTGGCTACCAAGCGTGAAGATAGG